TCCCATTACTGCCTGACAAATAGAAGGTGAAAAGGTGGAAGTAGCGACAGATTTCCTCTTCTTGGGCTCCAAAATCACTGCGGATGGTGACTGAAATCAGAAGATGACTGCTTCTCAGCAGGAAAGCTATGACAAACCTAGACAGTGTGTTGGAAAGCAGAGACATTACTCTGCCAGCCAAGGTCCGTATAGTCAAGGCTATGGTCTTTTGCCGTGGTCATGTATGGATGTGAGAGCTGGACTGTAAACAAGGCAGAGAACCGAAGAATTGATGCCTTTGAACTGTGGTGCTGAAGAAGACTTCTGAGAGTCCTTTGGATAGCAAGGAGACCAAACCAGTCAATCTTAAGGGAAATCAACCTTAAATACTCACTGGAAGGACTGATGCTGAAGCTAAAGCTTCAGTATTTTGGCCACCTGATGCAAACAGCTGACTCACTGGAAAAGTCACTGATGCTGGGAAAGATTGAGGGCAGGAGAAGAGGGTATCAGAGGATGAGATGACTGGATTGCATCACTGATGCAATGGTCATGAAATTGGGCAAACTTCAGGAGATGGAGAGGGACAGGGGGACCTGGCATGCTACAGTCCATGGGGGGTTGCAAAGAGTCAAACACAACGGGGTGACTGAACCACCACCACTGGTCTGCTAGGGAATTCCTCTCTTGGTTTTAAAAGCTATCTTCTTTAAAAAAAAAAAAAAAAAGCTGTATCTTCAACCTTAGAGAGAGATGTCTATTTCTAGTACATAATTCTTTCATCTAAGATTTTTAATTTACTTCAGGCATTGTTTTCTCCTTGTGTGTCCATCTACAATCAGAGAAAATAACTTCTTTTTCTTTTAGAAGAAAACAGAATATCAAGAGTTCTGAGTATCTGGTAATGGCTGTATTGTGTTGTAAACAGACAACAATCTTAATTTGGAAATAAAATCCATATAAGTCCCTCAGTCAGCCTAAATTACATTCACACTGAAGAAGCAAACACAAAAAAACATAAGAAGGAAATGATATCACAGATGGTCAAAGAGATTTAGCAAGAGGAATTCAAATTCTGGTTCCTATCTCAGAAGAATGGAGCTAAAGAGAAGTCAGATGAAAAATAGGAGCAACAGGGTGTTAACACGAAAGGAAGCGCCTTAAAAGACCTTAGAAGGAGGAAAACAGTGCTAAAGCAGAGCTCACTGAACTCTACAAGGACAAGGCAGAGGTGGCAAGTTGGAGGTCTAAGGGTTGCACCTAGAAACCATTTTGTTTAGCCTTTCAGTCATTTTTATCATTTAAGTTAGAGGCTATTTAAATAGTAGGGTATTTTACATTTTTTTAAAAATCCAGACTTCCAGTTTGGGATATTTAGATGCTCTGGAAGTACACGTCTGCATTTCCATGTGGCAACAACAATCCACTTGAGCCGAGCTAGGTCCTGTATTCTCCAATTCACCAGGCCCCACTACTCTCTCTGGTTTATACCAGTCCTCTTTACTCACATAAACCCTGTTTCTCCCTGCAGGTACTGTGACTCCTGATATAAGGGCTTAGGAAAACAGAAATGTCAAAGTTCTGAAAGGGACAGGGGCTGGGGAAAAACAAAACAAAACAGAATGTTCATAATAACAAAAAGCTGGAAACAAAATAACTATCCACCCATAGAAGAGGGCATAAATGGAATTGTACACAACAGTGAAAATGCATAAATCACAGTGAATCTTAGAAACAAGAGTTGAGAACATGTTACTTAGTAAGTGTAATGTATGTCTCCTATTGTCATCATTATAATAATTGAGTGTAATAATAGTAAGTCATAGAAAACCAAGTAAAGCTGAACAAAATATATTATTTAGAAATACATATGAATATGGTGGGGCTTCCCAGGTGGTAATAGTGGTAAAGAACCCAGCTGCCAATGCAGGAGACATAAGAGATGCAGGTTTGATCCCTGGGTCAGGAAGATCCCGTGGAGGGATCACTCTGTATTCTTGCCTGGAAAATCCCAAGGACAGAGGAGCCATGTGCTACAGTCCATAACGTCACAAAGAGTTGGACATGACTAAAACAGTCCATAGTGTCACAAAGAGTTGGACACGACTAAAGTGACTTAGCACGCATGCATGCATGTTTATGGTAAAAAAAAAAGTTTTTGAAAAATAAAGAATTTATAAGACAAAAAATTCAGAATAGCGCTATCCTCTTAGAAGGAGGGAAGAAATAAGAGAGAAACTTCAGGTTGTACTGTATTATTATGCACTGATTATGTTCCAGTTATTCAGCTGGGTGGTGGGTTCATGGTATTGATGCACTTTTTATGCTTCATAACATATATATTGCACATCAGTCTCCTGTATGCACCAAGTATTGTCAAATAAAACAACTTTCAAAAAAGAAATAGAAGATCCCAGATAACCAAATCAATCTTAAAAGGAAGATTCATATTTCCTGATTACAAAATCTTCTACAAGGCTACAGTAATGATTAAGTACAGATGATTTCCTATAAGGATGACTAGACCATTCAATGCAGAAAGAACAATCTCTTCAACAAACGGTGCTGGGACAAGTAAATTTCCACACACCCAAGAATTAATTAAATAGGATCCCAACTTCACATCATATGCAAAAAATAACTTAATTAAGTTTAATTCAAACAAAAAATTAGCCTAAAATGAATTGATGACCATTTCAATAAAAGTGTTAAAATCATAAAACTCTTAGAAGAAACCACAGGAGTAAATCTTCATGATCCTAGGTCTGGTAAGGATTTTTAGATATATGACATCAAAAACTTAAGCAACGAAAGAAAAAATAGATAAACTGGACTTCATCTAAATTAAAAACTCTTGTGCATCAAAGAACATTATCAAGAAAGTAAAGACAATCTACAGAAAGGCAGAAAATATTTGCAATCATAAATCTGACAAAGATTTAATATCAAGAATATATAAAGAAATACAACTCAACAACAAAAAGGCAACACGGTTTTAAAATGGTCAAAAGACTGAATAGACTTTTGCCCTCAGATGTGCAAATGGCCAATCAGATGAAAGATGCACATAATCATTAGACATTGCTGCTGCTGCTGCTAAGTCACTTCAGTCATGTCCGACTCTGTGACCCCACAGACGTCAGCCCACCAGGCTCCCCCGTCCCTAGGATTCTCCAGGCAAGAACACTGGAGTGGGTTGCCATTTCCTTCTCCAGTGTGTGAAAGTGAAAATGAAAGTGAAGTTGCTCAGTCCAACTCTTAGCGACCCCATGGACCACAGCCTATCAGGCGCCTCCATCCATGGGATTTTCCAGGCAAGAATACTGGAGTGGGGTGCCATTGTCTTCTCTGCATTAGACATTAAGGAAATGCAAATCACACTACTGCATACAAAGATAACTAATAAGAGCCTACTGTATAGCACAGGGAACTCTATTCAGTGCTCTGTAACAACCTATACAGGAGAGGAGTCTAGAAGAGAACGGATATATGTATACGCATGGCTGATTCACTTTGACGTACAGCATAAATTAATACAACATTGCAAATCAATGATATGCCAATTAAAAAATCAATTAAAAAAATTGAATACCTTTCATACTCACATCCAAAAAAAAAGAGAGAAAATAACATGTTTGTGAGGATATGGAGAAATTGGTACTCTCTTGCATGGCCATGGGAATGTAAAATGGTGCAACTTGACAGTTCTTCAGAAAGCTAAAAAATGGAACTACCATATGACCCAGCCACTTCACCTCTAGGTAAATACAAAATAACTGAAAACAGCAACTCAAATAGATCTTTGCATGCCAATGTTCATGGCAGCATTACTCACAAAAGCAGAATGGTAGAAACAATCCAAACATTCATCAACAGATGAATAGATAAAATGTATACAGACACAATGGAATATTATTCAGTCATCAAAGGAATAAAATTCTTATACATGCTAAAACATGGATGTGTCTTTAAAATATAGTACTAAGTGCAATAAGCCAGCCCAAAGAATGACAAGTATTATATAACTCCACTTAAATGACATATCTAGAATAGATACATTCATAGAGACAGAAAGTGGACTGAGGTTACCAGGGCCTGGGAGAAGGGAATAGGAGCTTTTCCTTACAGAGTTTTGGTTTGGGTGATGAAAAAATTCTGGAAATAGATATAGTGGTGATGACTGCACAACACTGGGACTAATTAATGTCAATGAATTGTATACTTAAAACTCTACATACTTGCTAATGAGTCAGATGGAGTTAATTCAATTTTCTAATTTGGTGCAGAATCAGTGTATCTATAATTATTAATTATAGTTAACCACCAAACTATATTTCCATTAAATCTCATGGTATGATGGGGTAATAGAGACAGTAATTGTGTCTCTACTGAAAATATCTGTGATCTTTTGACTACAGTGAAATTACTTTACTTCTAGAAGTTAGAGATTTAATATTTCAAGGAAAACTGAGTGTTCCTAATGGCAGGAAGAAACTATGGACTTCAGTTTTTGTCAAGCTCAAATATACCTTGATATTTTCTCTGGTTCTTAAGTGTTCTAAGCCTTTCACATTCCATTTTTTCAAAAGGGTCTCATGTTTCAGTTATCCTTCCCAATTCTCACATTAATTTTAAGAGTTTTGGTTAATAATGAACCATTAATTAGTAAATGGATAATTATATCAGTATCACTTTAGTTTTTACACTGTAATACCATGTTGCCTATTTATGTTTTGTGTCCTGTAATGTAGAACACACTACAATACTATATAATAATTTCAGTTCTGGGTGCCATTGTATTTTGTTCCTGGAATAACAGGAAAAAGGCTTTCTGCTGCCTCCCTTCACTGAACCTTTTTTTGTATCCAATAAATCTAATTTGGAGAATTCTTTTTAAAACAGAACTTTAGAATGTACATCAACAAACAGGAGACATGGTAACATTTCATCTGCCTTGCTGATTTGATAATGAGTGGAAGGAAAGCAGAAATATGCATCTTGGAGCTGACTCTGTCCCTTACCTTGCCATTAAGAACAATGTTCTGACTTCCACACAATACAGACTGGCGACTAACTTTGTTCCCAGATGCCTGAAAGAAAAGAGAGGTGAGCAAAATGAGTGGATTCTAGGCTCCAAATTTCCACCAAGAAAGCTCATATTGCAGAGAACAGGACTTGAGATGGGTAAGGTCTGAAATGGGATGAGCCCAGAATATAAAAAAAGCAAGGATGAATCAGGAAACTAGGGATTCAAGGATCAGATCCAGAAGTTGTATGTGATACATACATAGGCTAGCAGCAGCAGACATGAATTGAGTCTCATTTCCATACTTCAGTTTTACAGACCTAAAACCAGGATAATGACTTTACCAATATCACAGAGCTGTGAGAATTCAATGAAAAAATAAGAGTAATGCTGATTGAGCACTAAACCCGTTTCGAGCAATTTACACACATCATGTATTGACTATTAAAAAAAACTAATAACAGTCTTCAGCACAGAGTAATAAATCTCCACACATTAGTTTAACAAAAAAAAAAAAAATTTTTTTTTACAAGGCCTGGAGCCCAGAGCTTGTAATCATTATCAGAATGAATGAGACTTGTCCTGCTTTCTGGAAGGCACTTTATCTCTACGAGGAAATCAGAAATAACTAAAAAAGCCTAAACTGGCCATGCAAGGAATAAATAACAAAACCAGACTATACATGAACTCTCATTAGGTAATCTCGGACTAAACGCCGAAAGGACCAGGGGTGGGGCAGAGACAGGACGGAGGCCTCAGAGAACGCGGGCTTGGAGAGGGGAGGGCAGATGCCTGGCCATGCGCACCGTTTCGATGTACTCCGACTTGTTGTAGAGCAGCTCGCCCAACTCCATGACCACCAACTCCCAAGCGCGGCTCTGGCTCCTGTCAAAAGTCTGTCCGCCGGTCTTTCTGACTGCAACTCAGGCAACTTCCGGCGGCTCCACCACTTCCGCTCTGCCCGGCCGGAGCTATCATCCATAGTTCGGTTCTCCGCTAGGCGGCCTCACTCCATTGCTCTGCCATCTCCGGCTGCGCGTGCGCAGGCCGAGCGGCGGCTGTGATTGGCCAGGTTTGTTGGCGCGCCCGTCCGGCGTGGGATCTGGCCTTGTGTTGTGGGGATCCCGGGCTCCCCAAGCCTTCCCGGGGTGCCTTGAGGCCCAGGGCCAGCCGGGCTGTTTTTGTCCGCAGGCCTGGGGCCAGCGACGAATGCTCTTTTTTGTTGGCCGCCAGCCAGATGGAAGAGCCTCCTGGGAAAACCCTCAGCTGTGAAGAGAAGGAAAAGGTGCCGGGGATGCGGGAAGGGTTGACTCCGAGTTTGACCCCCATCCCAGGATTTTAGGCTTGTCTTTGCTTCCTTCGACCGTCCAAGGGCGGCAGTGACCTCTAACCTACACTTTTCTCTGGAGTGAGGGGACACAGGAAGTGAAAGTGTGGGAGAGCGCCGTGCTCCCTTGGTGGCGTATTTTCTTTACAGCAGAAGTGCAAAAGTACAAAATGTAAAAAACTGTAAATAAAGCTAAGGTCCCCTTTGTCATCTTCCCCACTCCACCCTGCACACTCTCAGTTTTGGCTTCTCCCATCCCACCCCGTTAAGTAAATCTCTCAACTATCTGGACTGAAGATATTTTTGTGTGCAAGTCGGACGGGTGGTGGAGGTGTGGAGGGACGTGTTTGTATTCTCTAATCACCAAAGAGTAACTATATATTTTGGGGGAAGGTGAATGTTCATAAATGGTATGATCTAGATGGTTCTGCAACTTCCGTTTTGCTTCTCCGTGTTTAAAGTCCACGTTAGTTCTTCTTTGCTCCTGCTTCTGCTAAGTCGCTTCTGTCGTGTCCGACTCTTTGCGACCCCCTGGACTGTAGCCCTCGAGTCTCCTCTGTCCATGGAAATTTTCTGGCATTAATACTGGAGTAGGTTGCCATGCCCTCCTCCAGGAGATCTTCCCAACAGAGGGATGGAACCCGCGTCATGTTTACTTACCTTTTTTAAAATTATTTTTTAAATTCTGTATAGTATCTACAAATGGAAGTGGCATCTTTTCTTTATATGTTTCTCTTCTGAGAGCCTTCTGTTTGCAGGTTTTGATTCTATGACAGTGCTGTTCTGACTGTCCTTATACATGCCACCTTGTGCTTGTTCCAGCAGACATTGTGGTTTTTACAAAATATTTATTTATTTGGTGGCCCCCCTCTTAGTTGTGGCACGTGGGATCTTCTATCTTCCTTGGGGCATGTGGGATCTAGTTACCTGACCCGGGATGGAACCCAGCCGGATGCATCGGGATGGCAAAGTCTTAGCCACTGAGCCACCAGGGAACTGACTGGTGTTGTTAACTTGAAGGTATCTTGCACTGGCTCTTCCAAGCATGGTGCTAAAACTCTTCATTCACCATAACTCATCAGTCCTCTCATCCCAGCATGCCTTGCAGTGGTGGTGGAAAAGTTCATTTACAAATCAACAAGGTAATTCTCAGATGTTGATAAGGGTGGTGATAAGCTGTGAGAAGAGGTTACGAGCACAGACCCTACAGCCAGACTGCATGGTTTGAGTCGTGCTGGTTTTAAATTGTGTGGTCTTGGACAAGTTGCTTTCCCTCTGATCTTTCCAAAGCTAGCTCTTTCCTCCATCAGGTCGGAGCTCATGTGGTATTCCTCAGAAATGCCTCCCTGGCCACTGTCTCTAAAGTAGTCCATTCTCCTGTATCCCGGACACCTCCCATCACTCTGTTTATCTAGGTATTGATTACCACATGAAGCCATCTTATCTGTTTGTTTCCTTACTTACTATCTGTATCCCTCACTGTATGTAAGCTGCCTAGAGCGGTGGCCTTGACCCCTCTGTAGATGTAGCACCCAGAACTATAACTGACATAGTGGGCGTCAGCTAGTGTCCTTGGTACTGGAGATGCCTGGATGAATAACTGACTCATAAGTTGAATGATTGTCTGAGGATGATAGCCCCTGCTACCTTCAAGGATCTCCCAGTGAGGTAGGAGGAAACAGAGAAGTAGACAGTCTGTATAGTAAGTACTGTGATAAAGCAAGCACAGAGGAGAGGTGGAATCCTAACTTGGATTTGGAGGAGGACTTAGTTTAGAAACTTGCCTAGAAGTTTCCCTCAGGGAAATAAAAATCTAAGCCGAGGTTTGAGGAATCAGTAGGAATTAGCAAAGTAAGTTGGGGAGAGTTGCTCCAGGTGATAAGAACAAGTTATGCAGACATGCATTAGAGAACTTGATGTTTTGTGAGAACTGAAAGTAGAGTGAGGCAGTGCCGCTTCCTCCCCACCTCCAGCTGAGACACCTGCTGAACTCTGTACCCTGGTGTCTAACAGGCCCTGCATCCCTTCTCTCTAATGCCTTCTTTCCACCTGCTCAGTTTTGTTTGGTATTTTTCCTCTTCCAGTTGAAAGAAAAATTAGCATTCCTGAAAAGGGAATACACCAAGACATTGGCCCGCCTTCAAGTAAGTAAAATCACATTCTCTCAAATTACTGTTAATGCCACAAAGTATATAAAGACAGCTCTTTATTTAAGCTGTTAACAAAAATTTATTTCTTTTTCATAAAGTTGTTTTTTTGAGCTGCTTTTGTTTTCTCTAGCGTGCCCAAAGAGCCGAGAAGTTAAAAAATTCTATTAGGAGAACAGTGGAAGAACAAGATTCCTCACTCCAGCAGGAAGTTTCAACACAGCTAACCCACACAGGTAAAGCTAGCCCATTCTCTTACGCTTTCTTTATTACTCATTTCCCACGTAAATCTGCCTGTGGTTCTTTTTTAAAATATATATATTTACTTGGCTGCATCGAGTCTTAGTTGTGGCATGTGGGATTTTCGTTGGGGCACCCAGGCTTAGTTGTCCCCTGTCGTGGGGGATCTTAGTTCCCTGACCAGGGAGCAAACCCCCATCCTCTGCCTTGGAAGGCAGATTCTAAACCACTGGACCACCAGGGAAATCCCCTGGCTGTGGTTCTTTTTCTCACAATCAGAAGATAAGGAGTAACAGTAGACTCTTTAAAGTCTACAATTCATTGCTTCTTTATATAACCATCATCAAGATTGTATAACCATCATCACTGTCTTAATTCCAGAACATTTTCACCACCTCAAAGAGAAACCCTGTGCCCATCCTACCTTTAACCCACGGACAACTACTAATCTGCTTTTTGTCTCTGTGGATTTTCCTATTCTGGACACTTCCTATAGATGGAACCATACAATACGTGGCCTATTGTGACTGTCTTCTTTCATTTGGCATAATGTTTTTAACCTTTATTTATCCATCTATACATTCATCTAAGCGTGCATCAGTACTCCATTCCTTTTGCAGCTGAATAATATTTCATTCCCCTTCATGGATCACAGCCTTGTCATGGTGAAGGGGCTTGTGTAACTCAATGAAGCTCTGAGCCATAATATAATATGATATGATATAATTTGTTTATCTCTTCATTAGCTAATGAGCCCTTGGGTTATTTCTACTTTTTGGCTGTTATAAATTTTGGCTTTTATGCTGCTCTGAAGATTCATGTACAAGTTGTTTCTGTGGACATATATTTTCAGTTCTCTCCATATGTACCTAGGAGTGAAATTTCTGGGTCATATGATAATTCTGTGTTTAATTTTGAGGAACTCCCCAACTGTTTTCTACGGTGACTGTACCATTTTACTTTCCTACCACAATGCACAAGAATTTCAATCTCTCCACATCCTTGTTAATACTTGTGATTTTCTATTTTTAAAATTATAACTGTTCTGATAGATATGAAGTGGTATCTAATTGTGGTTTTGATTTGCATTTCCTAGTGACTAATGATATTGAACATCTTTTCGTGTGTTTGTATATCTTCTTTGGAGAAATATCTATTTTTATTAGGTTGTTTGTCTTTTTATTGATGAGTTGTAAGTGTTCTTCATGTATTATAGCTATTGGACCCTTATCAGATACATGATTTGTAAATATTTCCTCTCATTCTGTGAGCAAGAAACTATACTTTATTTGGATTGCTTATTTAGTTGCTCTTTTTCTCTATTTTAACTTTTAGAAATTATATTTATTACTTAAATATGGAAAGATGATTTTTTTAGTTAAGTGTTAATATGTGCACAAAGATGAAAGTCTGGCTGAAAATACTTTAGTAAAAAACAATGGTCATTTCTCATGTTAAAAGTCAGCTAATTTATAATCATAAAATCAGAAGCTAATGAAGTAGAAAAGTGGTATGAAAATTACTTGAGCCTAAAAGGGGGCATGAAGTAAAAAATCAGGTGAGAGATGGGGGAAATGGGGATATGTTGGTCAAAGGGTCAAGAGTTACAATTATGCAGAATGAATAAGTCCTAGAGAGCTAATGTATGGCATGGTGACAGTAGTTAATAATACTATATTATATACTTGAAATTTGCTAAGGTAAACGACCTTAAGTCTTCTCATCACACACAAAAATTCATAGCTATGTGAAGTGATGGATATGTTAGTTAGCTTGATTGTGCCAGCGTTTCACAATGTATACATATATCAAAACATCACTTTAACTATATGCAATTTTTATCTGTCAGTTGTAGTTCGGTAAAGTTTTAAAGAAGAAAAAACTAAGGAAAGATGATTACAATAAAGAATAATCTGTTTTTAATAGTTATAATTTATTTGGCTGCACTGGGTCTTAGTTGCAGCATGTGGGATCTTTAATTGCAGCATGTGGGATCTAGTTTGCTGACCAGGGATGAAACCTGGGCTTCCTCCATTGGGAGCACAGACTCTTAGCCACTGGACCACCAGGGAAGTCCCAAGAATAGATAATTGTTTAGTTTGAAAATCATTTTTCCAGCACAACTCCATTTTTGTTACAT